AAACCCAGCAAAGCATGATCCAATTTGCACCTACTGGGAGAACAATTCCTTCCTGATCCCCCAAGAGGCAATCTGTTAGTATCCAGTTATATTCTGTGTATCTAAGAAACAATCCAGGCCTTTTTTGAAGCAATCCACTGAGCTGGCCAGAGCCAACTCTTGAGGGAGTCTATTCCACATTTTCACAGTTCTCACTGTGAAGAAACCTTTCTGTGTTTGGAGATTAAATTTCTTTTCCTCCAGATGTAAAGAGTGCCCCCTTGTCCTCTGTGATGACCTCAGGGTGAATAACTCTACACTGAGTTCACTATATGAACCACTGATGTATTTATACATGTTGATCATATCCCCCCTTAATTTCCTCTTCTCAAGAGAGAATAAATTAAGTTCCTCTAATCTTTCCTCATAGCTGATCTCCCCCATGCCTCGTATCAGTTTAGTTGCCCTTCTCTGTACTTTCTCAAGTTCCCCAATGTTCTTTTTGTGAATTGGTGCCCAAAACTGAACTGCATATTACTAATAATTTGTACAGGGGTAATATAATGTCTCTCTCTCTCTGGAGTCTATACCTCTTTTAACCTCCCTGGCGGTATGATTATGTCAGGAATTTTGTGCTGAAAGCGGTACCATTTTTTTTGCATGGAAATATGTAGTTTTTTATTGTAGTCTGTAATTTTTAGGAATAACTCACTGAAATCTATCCGAAAAAGAGTCTATTAAACATTCCGGATATGATAAAACTTGAAACACGAAATCATAAATTATAATTTAATAAATAATCATAAAAAATAATAATATAAATAATAATAAATTTAATTCAATAATATAATCAAACCAAAAACACTGAAATTTGAAATACAAAGGCAAATTCGCACATCGCTGAGCAAAGTCGCAAAATCATTTTCAGTGTCTGATGACGAATTTCCCCCACAAATTATTATCACTCAATTCTGCAAGTGGTTCTGATTTACTATCGCTGTTCTCTAGCTGTTCTAAAACCGCTTTTGACGTAAAGGGATGCTTTTTGGCCGCCATGGACTTTTCTAAGTTTCCAGGCAGAAAGAACAGTCAAAATGCAGGCAGGGCACAGGACAAAGCAGTGGGGACAAAATGTATGTGAAATGCAGTGAAAAAGCAATGACAGCAAAAATGTCATTTTTTTAAAAATTTCAAATTTCCCGCCGGTTCCGCCGCCCGAACGTTCCGACTTCACAGGGACCGGAACACGGAAGCCAGATGCCGCATCTGCCGGAGGAGATGGACGGGGACGCTGCAGGGGACACATCATGGGAGCGAAGGACAAGGTAAGTGCTGCAGGGACCCCCAGAGAACGCTGCATGGTAAGCCCGAGTGTAGCTCGGGGTTACCGTTCTTGGTATAGAAATTCTACCCCGAGCTACACTCGGGAAAAACCGCCAAGCAGGTTAATACAAGAGAGGATTTTGCTTGCTTTAGAAACCGCAGCTTGGCATTGCATGCCATTATTAAGCTTGTGATCTACCAGAACCCCCAGATCCTTCTCCACCATTGATTCCCCCCAGTTGTACCCCCCCCCCAGTATGTATGATGCATGCATATTCTTAGCCCCCAAGTGCATAACCTTACATTTATCAACATTAAACCTCATTTGCCATATAGTTGCCCAATTAAATAGTGCATTGAGGTCGGCTTGTAAGTTGAAAACATCCTGTAAGGACGTTATTCCACTGCACAGCTTGGTGTCATCTGCAAAGACTGAAATTGGATTTTTAATCTCAGACCCTATATCATTTATAAATATATTATAAATATATGTACTATAAATATATATACTGAACCCTGGGGTACACCACTGATAACCCTAGACCATTCAGAGTATGAATCATTAACCACTACTCTCTGAATACGATCTTTTAGCCAGTTTTCTATCCAATTACATACAGATTTTTCCAAGCCTGTAGACTTTACCTTACACATTAGCCGTGTGTGGGGAACTGTGTCAAACGCTTTTGCAAAATCCAAGTATACCATGTCCACCGACACCCCTCTGGCTAGGGTTTTGCTCACCCCCTCATAAAAAGAGATCAGATTTGTTTGACAACTTCTGTCTTTCATGAATCCATGCTGTCTGTTGCTTAAAATTATTTTTTTTCCAGCAAAAACTCATCTATGTGGTCTTTTATTAAACTCTACAGTATCTTCCCAACTATAGAAGTTAAACTAACAGGTCTATAATTACTTGGTAAAGATTTTGAGCCCTTTTTAAATATTGGCACCACATTGGCCTTATGCCAATCCATTGGTACTATACGCCAATCCAGTGGTACTATATGCCAGTCAGTGTTAGTTATTCACAGAGACAGGGCTTAGGAAAGTCATTAACTTCTTACACATCAAAAGACTGGAAACACATCCTCTGTACTATAATTCGCTTAAGTAAAATTGCGTTGGATTCAACTTCTGTGTCTTATTGAAAAGATAAGCTGCGTGAAGATTGTTCCAAGTCAGCTGGGGCCATACTGTCCAGATAGACTGGGTCTAAGGAGGTTTGTCAAAGCATAAACTGGCATTTAAACCAAAACAGAAGGCTAGAGGGACAGTAGGAATCAGATTTAGAAAATAAGCAAATCTTTACAAAATGTCGGTTTTAAGTCTGTCAGGAGTAGAGCGCAGTTGTTAAACTGCTTGATACTTGTGCAAAAATATTTAGGCAAATGTAGTGCTACCCCTGAAGGAGCCGTTTTCCACGGTCTCCCCTTTCCTCTCCTCGCAGCCAGGCACAGTGTATTTCTGCAGCCAAATACACTCACACTCACTTCTGCTCGTTGTCTTCAATGACCAGTCTAGGGAATTTTTTTTTTTTGTTTTGGAGTTTTATTGTAGAACTGGGGATAGGGATGGGGAATTGTATTAGGATACTCCAAATCAAAACTATTCACACTGAGGACATCTAGCTGATCTCTTAGTTGAACACTGTAGAATTCTTGGCTGACAGTAGATAGCAGACTTCCTTTGTGGCATATAGCAGCAACTAGTTTTAGGAGTGAGCAAAGTCCCTTTTTGCAGTAGTAGTAGTTACAGAGCTGAGCTCCTCAGGCACAAGATAGTTACGATAGACTGCGACAGCCCAACGATAATCTAGCTGAGCAAAGACCTTTGCAGAAGCAACACTTGGACAAGCTTTTCAGAACACTAGCCAGTGTTTCCTTTTTCCAGACCCACGATGACTATCAAACACCAGGGGAAGTAGCAAGCACACAGTGTCCCCAAATTCCTCGATGTCACTACTCACAAGGTTAACAGAGAAAATGGTTGCTTCGTTCCAATCATCCAAGCAAAACCCTCCAATGATACCAGGCAGCTCCCCTCAGACAGCTTACTGAAGAATCAGGGTCACTATCTCCAACCTCAGACCCACCTAAGACTGCATGGCAGTGTGTGTGCCAGGCACGACTGCCTGACTCCAGCCTGGCTGCCTGATTCCAGCCTGGCTGGTGCAATCCACTCCCGGGAAAGACACTGAACCCATGTGCTCTCAGAATATAAATACCACTCCCAGCATTCCATTGGGCAATCCTCCCCTGCAATTGGCCAGGGCGGTATCCAAATTCATGCTGTGCATTTGCCTAGCCCCTACCCATGTTCTGGAAGGCTCTCATAGCTTCCTTAAGGTGGGCAGAACTCAGACAAACTTCAACAGCTCCAGAGCAGCATGAGAGCAGACCTAACTAATCCATCAGCGCACTCTGTTAAGCAGAATACCACCTTAAACTTACATGACAGCCTCTCTGGTAAGCAGAGAAACACAGCTATACTTAACCTAACTATATACATCCTAGCACCTATCTAGGAGGGTGCCACACAAAAATGGTAACTATCTGATTTTTCCCCATCAACTAATCTAAATTTATACGGAGATGGAACAGTGAAGTACTCGTCAATTAATCATTTAGGAATTTATAAGAGACACTTGAATGGAACGGTACTTTTTCAAAACCAAACTAGCCACAGACACAGGCGAAAGTTATAAAAAAGATTTATTTGGTCACAAAAGGCAAAAAAGGTGACTATCTCCAAAAATAGACAGGTTTAAAAGTTTGAGAACATTTACCATGAAGCATTTGCTAGGAATGTGTCAGTTTTTTATTCTTATACAATGTCGAGATAGTTAACATGGATATTCAAAAGCAGCAACATTTAACATGGAAGATTACTAGTCTTTTTTCTTTTCCAAGATTGGTACGCAGAATATATCAGCTAGCAGGGCTTGGACTGAGGGAATGGAATTGTCCCTAGACCTGCAAGTGCTCCAGAACCTGTGTCACAGGAGGGGCACTCCAGATGTGTACCTCCTGCCCTCCAGATTCAACATCAAACTGGACAGGTTTGGCTCCTGGTACAGAGGTAGTGCCATGTTGTTAGTACACCCTTATCTGCCTTTTCTCCTCTAAAACTCCTTCCTTGTTTTCTTTTCACTAGTGAGAAGGAGGGCATTTCAGTGATCCTCACATCTTCAGATTGGCCCATGCGGATGCGGTACTCCGAATGAATCAGATGCCTGGCAGATGCTCTGAGGGCTGTCTAAGATTGACCAGATCTTCTATTCAAGAACTGATTTACCACCCTGCTTCACAGTTGACTTTAACCACAACCCTACAGGGCACTGTTACCCCCTTTCTGCCGAGGCCAATTTCCAGCTTTCAGCGCTGTTCCACTTTAAATGACAATTGCGCGGTCATGCAACACTGTACCCATATGAATATTTTATCATTTTTTTGTGATAGATAGAGCTTTATTTTGGTGGTATTTAATCACCTCTGGGTTTTTTATTTTTTCTTAAACAAACCAAAAACCTCTGAAAATTTTGAAACAAAAATTTTTTTTCTTAGTTTTTGTTAGAAAATTTTGTAAATAAGTGATTTTTCTCCTTCACTGATATGTGCTAATGAGGCTGCACTGATGGGCACTGATAGGCTGCACTGATGGACACTGATAGGTGGCACTGATGAGGAGGCACTGGTAGGTGGCACTGATGGGCATTGACAGGCAGGCATCACTGTTGGGCACTGATAGGCGGCACTGATAGGAGGCACTGACTGGCACTGTTAAGTGGCACCGACTGGCACTGTTAGGCAGCACTGATAGGCAGCACTGACGGGTACTGGTAGGCGGCACTGATGCACACTGATAGGCAGCACTGACTGGCACTGATAGGTGGCACTGATTGGCAGCACTGATAGGTGACACTGACTGGCATTGATCACATGACCGAGCTGACATCTTCGACTCTTTCCGTGGATCGCTGATCCGCTGTGTCCGGGGGGACACAGCGCACCGCTGATTGCCACGCTGCGGGCTCCAGGAGCCGCGCATGCGCGGTTAAAATGGGAGGACGTCATATGACGTCCTCCCAGAATGAGAGAACCACCTTGCATCCGTCATATTATTATATGGCAGGAGGGAGGAGGTTAAAGGCATTGCAGAGGTTCTCTCCATTCAGTGAGTTCCATGATGTTAAAAGCCAGATAGTCCTTCTCTCAAGGTCCACCATGGCATATGGAAGGCGTATTTCACATGGTGCGAGGAAAGAAAATTCAATATTATAATCAAACCAAAAAACCAAAACACTGAAATTTGAAATATAACGCCACGTTCGCACATCACTGAGCAAAGTCGCAAAATCCTTTTCAGTGTCTAATGACGAATTTCCCACAAATCATTATCACTCCATTCTGCAAGTGGTTCTGATTTACTGTCGCTGTTCTCTAGCTGATCTAAAACCGCTTTTGACCTAAAGGGACGCTTTTTGGACACCATGGACATTTCTCAGTTTCCAGGCAGAAAGAACAGTAAATATGCAGGCAGGGCACAGGACAAAGCACTAGGGACCAAATGTATGTGAAATGCTTTGATACAGTAATGTTTTACTGTGTGATTTTAGTGTATTAGTGAATGTCACTTTTTGACATTTTTAAATTTCCCGCCAGTTCTTTCCCCATACACCCTGACGTCGCAGGGAACGGAACCCGGAAGACAGATGCCGGCATCGGCCGGAGGGCATTGCAGGGGACACTGCAGGGGGGACATCGTGGGAGCGCAGGACAAGGTAATTGCAGAAGTGATCCCAGAGCAACGCTGCAAGGTATTCCTGAGTGTAGCTCGGGGGTTACCGCTTGTGGTGCTGAAACTTTACCCCGAGCTACACTCAGGAATACCTCCAGGGAGGTAAAGACCTTCATACAGGGTTTTCTCATATGGCTCCCCTGCTCCCACCTATGTATCCTTTCTTTCTTCCAGCACTTTAAAAAACACTTTTTGAACCTGTCAGGGATATTCTCTTTTCCAAACTTATTAACAAGGTTGCATTCCTTCTTTGCCATCATCTCTGTGAGGCATGTGTCTGAAGTGGGGGCTTGGTCTTGTAGAGAACGTTTTCTTATTCTCCAGTAATTTATATTATTATTATGTTGTTTTTTTGTTTTGTTTTTTTAAACTTACATTGGTCTAGCTTGGCTACATCTAATTCTTCATATCTCATGCCCAGAGGGCTTTTGGTAATGCAGGAATTCTCTGTAGTAACCTGTGTTGCCTACAGTCAATGCATTCATCTCTTCTGGATGTTGCTCAAGTGACTTGTCATCTATATACTAGACACAGGGGGTCATTTGCTCAGCATCTCTACCATTCAGAGAATGATTTGTAATTTTTTTTAGGATTAAACAGCTTTCTCTTATTGGATTAGTCAGAAATTGTGATGTCATCCTCCATTCCTCTCTGCCATATCCAATCAGAGAATGCCTTGTAAATGCACCCATTTTTTTTCTCATAGCAATACAAGGTAACACGTGTTTTCTATAGTATTTATTGCGGTACATTGAGGGTTAAATTTCTATAGTCAGGAAAACACTTGAGAGTTTAATAAAAAGAGTTTTTGCTAGAAAACACATAATTTTAGCAATAGACAGCATGGATTCATGAAGGACCAAAGTTATCAACTCTGATTTCTTTTTATGAGGAAGTAAGTATAAAGTTAGACAAAGGAGTGGCTGTGGACATAGTATACCTGGACTTTGCAAAAGCGTTTGACACAGTTCCCCAGACATGGCTAATGCGTAAGGTACATTCTACAGGCTTAAAAAATTCAGTTTGTAAAAGGATAGAAAATTGGCTAAATGACCGAATTCAGAGATTAGTGAATAATGATTCATACTCTGAATTGTCTAAGATTACTAGTGGTGTACCTCATGGTTCAGTGTTGGAATCCTTACTTTTTAACATATTTATAAATGATATAGAGGTTGGTGTTAAAGGTATAATTTCAGTGTTTGCAGATGACACCAAGCTTTGCAGTGGAATAATGTCCTTGCAAGATGTCTGGCTTGCCTGTATTTTGCTTGCTGGACTTTTGATTAAGTGAACATTTGATAAGTAGAGTTAAAAACCGGAGTTGGAAACAAGAGTTTATAACTGGAGTCTAATAGGGGTCTACTGACCTGTAAGTGATAACTGATATTTCCTGTTAATAATGTAACTGGGATAATGTGTGCTAGCGGTGTGGAAGGTTTTGTGCAGTGCATGTATGCAGCAATGCAGCAACAGCTTCAGGGTTGATACTGCTGCGACAGATGTGAGTGGGTTGACCTTCTGGAAACTGGCGCTAGAGATCTGAAGGAGCAAGTCGCAACACTTGGCAGAACCGACAACCTTTCAAGGGGTCTTCTGCTCTCTGAGCAGGTAGCTAATGGGATTGATGTGGAGAGCGGAGAAGCTAATCAGGATTATCAGGTAGGAAGATGGGTTACTGTAATGAGAGGGAGTGGTAGGGGCTCACAGAAAAGGAAGGCCGGCCCTGAGTTTCTGCACCCAAATAGATTTGCCAAGTTGGGTGAAGATGTGGGGGTGGCAAGCTCAGGGGTCGCATCCCTGAATGTCACTGCTATCCCTAACAGCCGGGAAGGGCAGACCATCTGGGAGAGGTGGTGAGATTAGTGCAGGAAGACCTAGACGGTAGTAGGTAATTCTATAATCAGGAGGACTGATACAATAATTTGTCGCTAGGATTGCCTCAACTGAATGGTGGAATGGGGAAAGATGGGGGGAAGGCTATGGCAGATAAGAAGGTTACAAACAACCAGTGGAATTGGTACCATTTGTATGAAAATAAAAATTATGTAAAATACGTTTGAACAAGGTGTCAATTGATTAAAGTGTTTGTTCACCAATGCCAGAAGTCTGCAAAGCAAAACAGGTGAATTGGAAGCTTTGGTGCATGACGAGAACTATGATTTCATTGGTATTGCTGAATCTTGGCTTCATTCTTCACATGACTGGACCATTAATATTCCTGGTTATGTTCTCTTTCAGAGAGACAGGGTAAATAGGAAAGGTGGTGGTGTCTGTCTCTATGTGAGAAGTGATCTCAGAGCAAGTGTGCAAGAGTGTGATGAGGCTGAAGTATTATGAGTGGAACTGCACATGGGGGTGCGTACTACAAAGGTAATCATTGGAGTTTGTTATAGGCCTCCCAGTGTTAATGAGGAAGTGGAGACTCAGCTCCTTGCACAGATCAAAAGGGCTGCACGGGCTGGGACTGTGATAATAATGGGGGATTTTAAACTACTGGAAATTGACTGGAGTAATGTTACTGCAGGAACAGTTAAAGGGCAAACATTTTTAAACCTACTACAGGACAATTTTATGGTACAGTTCATAGAGGCCCCTACTAGGAATGATGCTCTGCTGGACCTGGTAATCTCAAACCATGCAGAGCTTATTATGAATGTCCATATAAAAGAACATCTGGGTAGCAGTGACCATAACATGATTTCATTTATTGTTAGCTGTAAACAGCAAGCACATAAGGCAAAAATAAAACCGCTCAACTTTAAGAGAACTAATTTTCAGAGGCTAAGAGCTGCTTTCCAAGATTTAGACAATTCCAAGCTGCGATTTCTAAAGCGAGCAAAATTCTCTCTTGTATTAAAAGAGGTATATAGACTCCAGAGAGAGAGATATTATTTTACCCCTGTACAAATCGTTAGTATAACCTCATCTGGAATATGCAGTTCAGTTTTGGGCACCAATTCACAAAAAGAACATTGGGGAACGGGAGAAAGTAGAGAGCAGCAGGGCAACCAAACTGATAAGAGGCATGGAGGAGCTCAGCTATGAGGAGAGATTAGAGGAACTGAATTTATTCTCTCTCGAGAAGAGGAGATTAAGGGGGGATATGATCAACATGTATAAATACATCAGTGGTTCATTTAGTGAACTCTGTGTAGAGCTGTGTAGAGCTATTCACCTGAGGTCATCACAGAGGACAAGGGGGCACTCTTTACGTATGGAGGAAAAGAAATTTAATTTCCAAACATGGAAAGGTTTCTTCACAGTGAGAGCTGTGAAAATGTGGAATAGACTCCCTCAAGAGTTGGTTCTGGCCAGCTCTGTGGATTGCTTTAAAAAAAGCCTGGATTCTTTCTTAGATACACAGAATATAACTTTATAGGTAAAGTTGATGCAGAGAATATCCATTTGCCTCTCGGGGGATATGGAAGGAATTTTTTCCCCTGCAGGAACAAAGTGGATAATTTTGTTTTTGCCTTCCTCTGGATCAACTGTGGTTATAGGATTATAACTTTTTTTTTTTTTTTAATGGTTGAACTGGATGGACTTTTGTCTTTTTTCAGCCAGACTAACTATGTAACTATATGTTATATATATATATAGTGCAGCGCTGTGATGTAATTTTTAAAATTAATAAAATAGTTCATAAAGTCTTTGTCACAATAATAACATCAAATATGTGCAGGCCTTCTCCTCATTAGGTGACTGGAATCAGATAGTAAAAATGCGCACTCACCGACCGCACATTTTAAATGCGCCTGTGTGTAATAATATCCAGAAGACCAGCCAGTCATGCAGCTCCAGAAAACACATGGATCCCCCTCTTAAGCGCTGACATCAACCTTGGGTGTAGCAATGCCTCCAGATCCAGAGACCCTCTCGCCCCCAATGATAGGTAGACCGGGATCCCCCTTCTGGTTCCAGGTACCCCAAAAATGGAAGGTGTAGATCTGCAACCCTCCAACAGGAGAGTCAAGGAAAAAAAGGGGAACGCCAATAGTGTGGTAGGTTCAAAACTTTATTGGAGCAACACTCATACAGCCAGGGTCACATGTGCATACATACACTATTAGCCAGTAAGCGGACAGGTAAGTATGAGAACAAAAAAAAACTTGTACTAACCCGGCAGTGGTAAAGATCAGAGACCACTGGACCTCCTCGTGGTCTCAGTGGTCAGGAAGTCACACTTGCTAATGGCTCCTCCTGAGGCCTTTCGTGCTAAATGCACT